TGCTTTACAAGATGAAGGAATACTTATAGATGCGCAATACACACTCACCCCCCTTTAGAGATGTTCATATCCTTATTCACTATTAACTATTAATTAATAACCCTTATTAAGCCAATCAACTTCCATTTCCACATAAGATGAAGGAATACTCATAGATGCCTAATATGTATGACTTTAATTTTAGATTTAGAAATATACCTTGCTCAAGGGTATATTATATTTTAAATAGCCATTAATTAATGGTATTGAACTTGTGTCATTTGCTCTGATACCACATATACCACACTCTATATCTCTCCCTTTAAACCAAGGTTTTAAGGATTCATTGTGATAGTATGTATCCCATGATCATACGCACTACATAGAGAGTGTGAACTTATGATTTTCTCTTATATTTTCTCTAGTGCTATGCAATTGGGTCATAACTTTCTTAGCTCTTAAGCAATTAACTAGAAAGTGAGTTAGGGTTTTGGTTTTTTAAAGTGTTCCTCCTCTCACTATTGAAGTTTACTTGGCATTTGGGTTTCATTCACTTAAGTTTATTAAGCTTTCTCTTGATCAAGATCTCCATTACTCTTTGGTTATGGTAAGTAATATTTAGTTTGTTGGATTGTGTGTGGATAGCTTTGTGGTGGTATTATTCATTGTCCTCAGATTATAGAAGGCCATTTTTATGAAGGAAAGTTCATTACAAAAAACACTTACACTCCCAAATCTATAGCACTAAAAGGTACTATACTTAGTTGTTACTAAGTTTTACTATTTTTACTAAATAAATATACTCATATGAGTTTTAGTAAAAAATTACTAAAATCTTTTGTGTTCATTGCATTCAATATATATTTGCTATAAATGCTTAGAGAATGTTTAAATCACAACCTAGCATAGAATATATACTATATTATGAGTTATGCACCACTTAAAGATGGGTTACAAACAATCTAGCTTGAAGCTTGATCCTTCTACATCCCAAAACCCTTTGCATCCTTGTTTACCACAATGCTTGTTGGTAGTAATTGGTTGGGTTGTATTCTCTTATAAAGAAAAGCAAGTATAAAAAAGTTTAGGTTGGGGGTTGGGCTATTGTTATTAAAAGTCTTAATAATTGTTAATAATAGAAGATTTATCATTCTTTGGGATGGTGGATTATTCTCCAACAATAATTGTATATATTACCATTGATAGATGAATATGATTATGGGTATAAAAAATTATCTATTGGTGAATTATTTCAAATATTTTTCTTTTATTGCCATGATAGCAAGTCAATATTATTGGTTCTTGTTATTACTCTCTTTTTTTTAAGTGCTTTAACACTTAGTTAGATGAGTATAAGGAATAAATTCTTAAGTGAGGTGGGTTGATTAGGCTGGGTTGGGTGTATAAAGGGTTTTAATAAAGATAGTGAGTAAGTTGAACATAATTGATCATCTTAAGATATTATTTAGCTCCTTATCATGTTTATTTTTTTTCCGCATTTGGCTTGGGTTTAAGCCTAAGCTCTATACCATATTTCCTTTCATTAAATTGCTAAAATAAGATTAAACTTTTTTAGCTTTGTTGTGCATGTTAATTTTAACATTAAAATGTTAAATGCTCTAGGATTGTTCTAATATTGCTCTGTACTCATGTTCTTTCACTCATTACCTATACATTTAAAATTTCAGCTTTGTACCTTCATTCAATGGCCTAAGGCCCTAAAATTCAAATCCCACTCTATTGCTTATAGCATACATGTCCAAGGGTTAAGTTCCACTATATGGTTATCCTATAATAATTCATTATGCAAAAAATCACATATGTATAAGAACCATTAATATTCAAAGATAAAGGTAAAAATACTCTTTTTTTAATTAATTAAATATTTTGTAATAGTAGAAGTTAAGTTTCCTTATATTTTAGTAGTACTGGGACAGATGACATCCCAGGAAATCAAAACTAAGGACTTTACAATTTAGTAATGCATTCAGAGACTATTATTAACATTATAGTTAATTCTTTCTTTTAAGTTTTTCTTACTATGCATCAATATTGCTTAAAAGAAATCAAGTTGTTCTTTTTATATTATCTTATATATAAGTTTCACATGATTTAAGATGATGTAAATACTAATTTAGTTGTTTGCATCCTTTTTTATTTAAATTATATTATTGAAGATGCAGTTCCAAACAATAAAAAGCATACCAAAATAGAATGATTTATGCATTTATCATTGTTTGGTGATATTTATTTAATTTGAGAAATAGTGGTTCTTTTAAAATTTGAGAAATAGATCAGCCATCACTATCAATAATTATAGTGGTAACTATCTTTATTGAGCACACTCTATCACTTGAGATCAGGTTCTAGACTTACTTATCTGCAGGCTGTGTTAGTCAAATGGCACATACTATTTTTATTGGTGGTGATAGCAAAATTTAACAGACTTATACAAACCTTTGAATTGAATCAACACTAGTCTTG